TGTATGTGTGTATGCGTGTGTGTGTGTATGTGTGTATGTGTGTATGTGTGTATGTGTGTATGTATGTATGTATGTATGTACGTATGTATGTACGTATGTATGTATGTATGTATGTATGTATATACATACCCCTTCATGTACCTTCACAAAGCCATCGAAGTAATGTTTACTATCCGTATATACTCCTTCACAACCTTCACAAAGATCCTCAGGTAAAATTCACAGGCTTAACCCTAAACCCTCCACCCTTTTGTTGACCCAGGACTCTCTGATGTTCACCCTAAAACCTAAACCCCAAACCCTAAACCCCTAAACCCTCAACCCACCCCCGAACCCTAAACCCCAAACCCAACCCAGGTCGACGCCCCACGTCTCGTCCAGCAACTCGGGGCCCTGCCAGCCATGCTGATGCTGACTTGGCTGAAGATTCGAAGTGTAGATCTGTATATGAATTTATATACATAACTATATACATATATAATAGATTTGTATGTGGCTTTGTCCTTTGAGGTGGTTATAGGGATGTATATATATATATATGTGCGCGTGTATATTTGAATCTATAGACTTGTCCAGGCTGAAGACTCGGGGGTTGTCAAAACACGGTGGATATAGTCCCCCTTAAGTAGATAGCATATGGCTTAGGGGCTTTGGGTATATTATAATGAGACCCAATAACCCCATATTCCATCTACTTGAAGGGGACTATATGTAAATATCCGCCATGCCTCTAGGTACCTTTTGCCTCAGGCTTTTGGTGTTAGAGTGTATTGCGGTCATGGAAGATTTTTGCATACAAAAGGTATGGTCCCTTTCTAGGTGCCCTAGTAGACTAGACATGCATAATCGAGGACCAAAAAAAATCAACATCACGCGTGTGGCTCTCAGCAGGCACGGCTCAATTTTACACTCACTCGCACAGTCACCACAGCTCATTTCTGAGCCCCAGCAGGGCAAGGTTGCAAACCTGGGCGGGCATCCACCTCAGATGTTCATGGCGGTATAGATGTCAGAGTATTCTCTTAGGCAGCCACTTTGCAAGGCCCAATGCAAAGCAGAGATTGTTACCAGCTGTGGCAGCTCACCACCATCTGCATCTTCCTATGGTGCGCCCTCCTTAATTATGCATCTCAAGCAGTCGAGCAGGGTGCTCAAACAAGACAGGCAGAATAAGAAATTGCAAGATGTGCCGTCTGTATCGTACTGTTGCTGGAGGAAGATTCATTAACCACTTGGGAGCCCAAAAACATGTTAGCTACGACTGTCAGGGCTACATTACATGGGATGTTGCAAGATTTTTTACTTTAGAAGGAAGACTTGAGGGAAGGGACTTCAAATGTCAAGCTGCCCCTGCTAGGACTCAACCACAGGCACTGCTCACCCTGGACTTCGTCAGGGATGCCTCTGGAATTGCCGGTTTATTGAAAAGATGGACATGAGGCGTTCTTAGAAGCACGGGCCTTCATTTCCCTGCTTCTCTGGACATCTGGACATCGTCACAAAAGCTCTCATCTCGAGAACTTCTTAAATGCTCCATGCACATCCCACCTACTATACCTACTGACAGCTTTGAAGTGCTTTCCGGGAATGAGCTCCCCATTCGTAGCCTTGTGCCGCTTGCAGCATTGCACCTTCGAGGTGGGTGTACCGAAATTATTCGAGCTCGCTCCTGCGCTATCGCAGAGCCGCGAAAAAGGCGCCTCCCCTTACTGTGTATAACAAATCAAGCACTTTATCATGTGGGGGTCAGGTTAGTACAAAAAAGGAAGCGCAGGCTCTGCTTTGCGCAAATGAATTTGAATCGAAAGTGAATCCTGTCCGAGCTTCGCCCGCATAGAGTTGCGGTCTTGCTGCGGTCCGGGCCCTAGGGTCAAGGGACTTTGAATACGAAAGAGCCTTTGGCTGGCCAGTATTACTACCCAACCAGTCTTGCATATGCAAGCTTTGACCCTCAAAGCCCAGAGCCAAAAACTCGGGCAACTCCGTCTCCCTCAAGCAAGACGATGGGCCAATGCATCACGCCCCTTGTAGACCCAGGCCTACATGCTGATATAAGCCTTAAATCCAAGCTAAAGCGTTACAATGGCATGTGGGCGGATGCCTTCAAACAAACGTGGGCTTCACGTGACAGGCAGATTACAGATGATTTTCTGCAGGGCTCAGGGCACTCATAGCGGCACCATACCTGTGAAATATAGTGATAGAAGTTATTCTAGGGATAGAACCTGAACCTCAGAGTGTCACCACTAAGTGCTGCGATGGCGCCACGAGCGGTCCACGCGCTGTTGCGTAGGGCTCAAAAGGCACCTCAGGCTCCTTCGGCACGTCATGGTCACGGGCTCGGCGTACAGGGCTCGGGCTGCTGGACTGGCTCTGCTGTCTCTCCTGCACGCTGGTGGGAGCTGCAAGCATGTTCTGCAGCTCATGGAGCTCCTCATCACTTTTTTCTGGGATGGGAATCTCCAGCTCCTGTAACAACAAAGCTAGGAGCTCTGTCTTGAGGTGTCCTTGGTTGGCCAAGCCGCTCAAAGTCTGGAACCATTTTCGAAGCCTTGTGGTTGTGCCTGGGACGCCGCCATGGTGGGCGAAGCGGGTATCCTGGAAGTGCTCGCCATATTCGGCGCCCATTTCCTTCTTGACGTTGTCGTGCAGGCGGCTGCGCATGCCCGTCAACTTCATCTTGGTCTTCCACTCCAACACCCTAGAATCTGTTGGTGAGTCCCATTTCAACTTGCAAGACAGCGAATACTCTTCCTTCTCTTGACCCGGCAGCCAGGAGCTGTTCGGCTGGTCGGTGTGGCCGGTGACGTCCACCAAGAGTTCTGGCTGTTCTGTTCCCCGAAAATAACCAAATCGCCACAGGAAGCGGCGAGGGTCTTCTGTGGGCTGCTCCTCAAGGAGAGGGCACTCCTGAACTGAGCTCGCCTGCGACAGTCGGCGCGAGATGGCCTCCTTTGATCCGATGCGGGATGTTGCCATGGTTGAGTCTGACTGCAGGCGGGGCCGTGGCGCGAACTCGTGCGTGCCAAAACTTCGAAGGTTGCTAGAACCTGTCATGTCCTTTGATGCATTCCTCTGATAGGCTTCTTCTTTCGACTCCTCCAGAGCCTCCAGAGCGGACGCCTTCGAGCTACGACGGCTCGCCTGGCGCTCCATTTCTCGCTGCTTCCTCTCTTCCACATGTTGTGCCGCAAGCTCTCGTGCTCGCTGCCACTTTGCTTTGGTTGCATTGTGCGCCGCCCGGATTTCTGCGAATTTCGTCATGAGTACAGCAGGAACCGGAGAGGTCACGTCCGCAGCTGAGCCGGAACTGATATCTGTAGCAATTTCAAAGGACAAGGGTTGGGTGTCAGTAAGGGCAAGATGTCTACAATAATTTTGACCCACTTGGCACACTCCAAGATCTAGGTCATAACTCAGAATGTCACAAGCACTGTCTTTGTCACAACCATGTCGAAAAATGCATAAGGCAAAACGTCCATTGAAATATGTCAACGTCGTGCGTCAACAGCGACCCGAATATCAGGTGGATGGGAGTGGGCTTATGGGTTGCAAGATGTTGGACCCGAGTTCTTGAACAGCTATGGCCAGGGCCATGGCCCAGAGTAAACAGCATACACTTTCACGTCTTGATAGCTAGGCACTCAGCTGATACGAAGTTCAACATGGAAAGTGGGATGCAACAAGTGGATCTCAAACAAAAATCGTTGGGTCATCTTGGATCCAAGACTTCAATCCTGCTTGCATGTTTGATTTGATGGCTCGTGGAAAAAGCTGCCGCTGGCAAAGAAATTGTCATCTTCCGCCGGCCTTCCCCGTCACTTCTTGACAGGCCTCGGCACACTCGCTGCTGGTATTTGCAAACCTACTAAACCCAATGTACTATAGTAGTTTCCATTTTCATTTCCATTATCCCAATATAAACCCAATATTGATATACCCCTATATAGCCCCTATATATCCCATTATACTATACTAATTTCCGTTTCCTTGTGGTAGCGGATGAAACCCACAGTTTTGTCGCGCGGGTTTGAGAATCAGATGGAAAAGAAAATGGAAAATGAAATGGAAACTGGGATTCTTCTGGTGTATATATAGGAATGATATAGGAATTATATAGGGATAATGGAAAAGAAAATGGAGACTACTATAGTATATTGGGGTTATATTGGGATAATAGAAAAGAAAATGGAAGCTACTATAGTATATGGGAATTTGACCAGTCTATGTTGCGGAACAACGGCCCAAGCCGGACACAGCCCAAGGCTTTTGATTTGCAACCGCCATAACCCCAAACTGAAGAATAGGAGCGTCGTCATGCCAAACCCTCACAAAGAGCCCCGCTATGTGGGGGACCACTACATGGCTTGTTTGGCAAGTGGTTCATACCTCCCTGGTTACAATCTGGCGTCCGAAGAATGCTGTTCTAGAAGCCAGCTACATGCGGGCAATATCCCTTAGGCTTGCTACGCGCTTCCATAATTTTGGGGGGTCTGGTGGGAGTCGTGATGGGCGCATTATGGAAACTGCCCACCTGTAGGTTGCTTCAATATGTCTGTCCCATCCGACTTGCAAGCACAGGCTGACGGAGAAGATGTCAATTTCGAAGCAGAGGTCAGAGGTTAGAGTCTGAACATACAAGGAACCAGTACCCGTCCATACCTGGCCAACATCTTACTCAAGCCGTTGTGCATTGGCCTTCCTACTGCGAAGAGGCCACTTCATAGTTAGCGCATGCTGAACAGGAAAAACAAACAACAACCACCGCCAAGGTTCTTAATTAGACTAGTCGCGCGTGGAGACGGCACGCAAGCAGACACAACAACTTTGAGAAACATGAGAAGGGATGAATTTGACAACCGGCTTCTACATAGTCCACAACTTCATAAGATTCTTTGCCACCCCCGACGAGCATGCAATACATGCAACATATACGCAACAGCCAACTCGTTGCAGGCCCCCGTGGCTTCTGCACCACAGTGCTTCGGCAGAAGCTCAGGAGCAAGCGAGCCCCACATCATGGTGCATCTGGACGTATCCTTGGGATTCGCTTTTGTAACAAGAAGGCTGTCAAATTGCTGAGTGACAGGAAGAGGTTCGGACCAGGTTTCCTAGGTGCCTCCATGATGCTGGACCTGCAACGTGCCCCGCAGGAACATTGCAAACAACTGTCTGTATAAGAACCGGGCAAAGAGCTCATGTACGTGCGCCTTGTTCCTCTGAACTCAGCAGCACTTTGTAAGATTTCTGTGTTTGCCCATTTCTGGCTGCACCAACGAGTAACATTTTGCACGCATTTCATGCAACCATGTACGCTCTCTGAGTTCTGGGTTCCACATCTTGGGGAATGCAGGCTTGCACTTTGCGGCCCTGTTGCTGCTCAAGCCTATATGGCTTTATACACCTTGTGTGGACACTCGTTATCTGGGTAGACCCCCATGCTACTCCTACAAGATCTCCATGCCTTATATGCTACATCAGGAAAATCTCTCAAACCGGGCTCGGTATCCAGAGCAGATGCCTCGAGTGGATGCAATGACTACGACCCTGTGCTCTGCCCTCGCTGAAGGCCTAGTTTGTGAGTATCTGCAGAGACATCGCGCACTACTCCCGTTTTAGTTGGTTAAACATAGCCCTACGCGATACAAATCATGCGTCTGACTCCCGCAACACCTCCTGACCTACGACCACTGCCGCTGCCACCACCGCTTGTGCTCCTCCTCCTCCTCCTACTACTACTACTACTCGTGCTGCCGCTGCAGCTACGGCTACTGTACTGCCACTACGCCTGCACTGCTGCTGCTGCTGCTACTACTACTCCAACTCCTGCGGCTGCTGTTACTGCAACTGTACTACTCGCTGCTGCCATTGCTACTGCCACTGCCGCTGTGCGCCACAGCTGCTGGCGTATGCATTTAGGCTTGCATTCCAAGAGGCTGCAGTCCTCCTGGGAGACAATGCTCCAGTACCTGTTCAGGGTTCAGGTTTAAGGGCTCGCTTTCTGTCAGTTTTGCTCATAGTGGTCCCTCATGTCCAGTTTTTAAGCCCCGAAAGGAAAAATCAATTAATTCAAACAACAATCCAGCGGCCTCAGGATACACATCTGTTCAGATGAGGCATGCTTGTGCAGAAATGAGCGCGCCAGGCTTCAACATGCACATCGGGGTTGAGGGGGTGGTGTCCCAGGCTTTGGTATATCTGTACTTCATGAAGAGAAAATAAATGTTGGAACCCCCACCTTCAGACTGTAAAATGTCACCCTCTTTTCTAGTTCATGATTCATGAAATGTTAAATCCAGGTTCAGGTTTGATTTCAGCGGAACTGGAATTTGAGACCCAAGTTTAAAACCCCTACTGGAATCCAGGTTTGAACCAGGGACCTAGCTTAACTTCAGGTTCGTGTCAATGTCACCATCTGCTTTTCATCCTTAAAACGTATCGAGTTCGAACCCAAGGTTGAAGAACAGGTTGGGAACCCGGATTTGAAACAAGATTTGATTATCCGGGTTGAGAACTTGGGCTTATGCAACCTAGATTTGAACATTGCGATTCTTCAGGAGCATGGGGACCAGTTGAGACACCTCCATATATCACGTCTCTGCTCAGGATTCCAGGTAGCCATGTGCTTTCGCAAGGTGTCTCTTGAGCTGCCATGTGTGGCTCCGTTCGGCTGAATCAGGGACCGCAAGCAATTGGCAAGCTTCAGAAAACATATAACCCCAAGATATACACCAAAATAATCCCTATATAATGTAGTAGTTTCCATTTTCTTTTCCATTATCCCAGTATGACCCCCATATACTATAACACTCTATAATACCCTGTCATACTCCTGATGTCCCCGGCATGCTCTTACAGACAGCGGCGCGCATCGTTTGAGAATTTGAAAAGGGTTTGATTCGGAACAGGCCCTACAAATTCGTAAGTTGGCAGTTATGGCAGAACACCCAGGAGCCCGGAAAATACGTAACCTCTAAACCCTAAACCTTAAACCCCACAAATTATAAGTATAATCTAACTAATAACGGCAAAACCCGATTACAATCATATTAGGGGACTTATAGGGCGGGTCCTGTAACTGAGCTAGAAGTACGACGTACGCACACGTCCCAAATTATCATGATGCTGGCCCCCCACCCACCTCCCCAAAAAAAACTAGAAAAAAAAAATAGGCAGGCTGTTATGAACTGGGGGAGGTCCAGGCATTAGGCGCCTTAGGATGCTTTCTGTGGAGCTATGTGAGCGTTTCCCAAAATTAAGGGCGACAATTTCGGGGGTCCCAATAGTAAGGACTATAATATGTTAGGGTCTATGTTTGGGTCCCCCTATTTTGGGAACTGCCATACCCTAACCCCTAAAAAGGGGACGCACGAGCCTTAGCCTGTAGCCGGCCACGGGCAGGTCAGGGGACGTCTCACCTGCGCAAGCCGCAGCTCCACGCAGAGTTCAGGGGGAGGGGTCCCTTTGAAGGGGTATAGGGGCTATATACGGGTATACGTGGCAATATAGGGGCATATAGTTCCATTATATAGGGTTTAGAGGTTCCTAAACTTAGGGTAGGGTTTTGGGGTCCTCATACGGATATGATGTGGTGGAGATTATGTTGGGTTTCCCCTTTTTATGGAAACTACCAGGGTTCAGCAGTTTATGGTTGAGAAGCGCTGAATTCTTTGTAAAATCATTGCATGTATTCCTTGTCCTAGACCGTGCTAGAATATGCCCCAAAGCCCATGTCAATTGTTTAGGCCTCAATATTTAAAATTCCAGGTCTAGGCTTGAGATATTGACTGGCCATTTGGACATATTTTCAGCGCGTGAAGCTGATTAAGTCCATTTTGTGACAAGTTTGTGTATAACCACCATTTGGGGTGAGGTCAGGTAACGTATCACAATTTGTGCAGTATCCAAACAAGTGAATGCTGAACAACTTGAGGGACATGCGTACTCTGTTTGTGAGTAGGCATCCTCCATGACCTAGGGTCCATGAACCGAACAGGCCCCAAGTCAAACTCCTACGCCTCTGCTCCATGGACCTCACCTATACCCACGTACACGAT